CACAATAAGAGCTGCAATTTTCTCTTCACCTCTTTTCACAAATAGAGTGTGATCTGACTGGCATTGTYTGAACCCCATCTGTTRAACTGCTAAATGGAACTTACTAAACCAAGCCCGAGGTGATTGTTTCAACCCATAAAAAGATTTGTTTAACCTGCACACATTTTGTTCACTGCCTTTGGCACARAAACTTGGAGGTTGGGTCATGTACACTTCCTCTTCCAAGTCACCATTCAAGAAAGTATTTTTGATGTCCAAATGGTGAAGTTCCTAGTCAAGATTTGCTGCCAATGAAAGAAGGATCCTGATAGAGTTCATCTTGGCTACTGGAGCAAAAGTCTCTGCATAGTCCACTCCATATACCTGTGTAAAACCTCTTGCTACCAGTCTAGCCTTGTGCCTTTCAATAGTTCCATCAGTCTTGTGTTTCACTGTGAACACCCACTTGCAACCCACTGGTTCCTTCCCTTCAGGAAGGCCCACCAACTCCCAAGTGTCATTTTTGTGTAATGTATCAATTTCTTCCTGCATTGCATCTGTCCATTCAGGTTTAGATAAAGCTTTTGCCACATTCTTAGGAATGGGGACACTGTCCACAGAAGAGAAGAATGCACGGAATGAAGGTGAAACGTGATCATAGGACACAAAATTAGAGATAGGATGATTAGTGGTACAAGATCTAACACCCTTTCTCTTAGCAATAGGAATATCAAGATCATTGATGACAGGTGAATCAACATTGAGAGGAACAGGCATATCAATAGGAGCAAAAGTACCTAGCTGATGAGACGGATCTGCCTCTAGTGAATCCGATGATGCTGGTTGCATAGTGTTAGGTTCCACGGCTCTTGAACTCTATTGGCTTTTATGGCGACGATGAAAAACCCGGAATGGAGGAGGATTAGGTAAAGGAGGTAGTTGAGTTTGAGCCGCCTGTTTCTCTTCAACCCTACTCTCCCCCTGAGGAGAAACCGAGAAGAAAGGTTGATTCTCAAAGAATGATACATCAATGGAGACACAGTACTTGCGAGAGGTAGGATCATAGAAGCGATACCTCTTTTCAGATAACAGGTAACCAAGGAAAACACAAGGAATAGCCCGAGGATCAAGCTTACCTCAAGTAGGGGACAAGTTATGGATAAAGCAATGACACCCAAAAACACGCATCGGAATGGTGGACAACGGAGTTGTAGGAAACAGAAGCTGATGTGGCCTTATACTCTAGTAACCAAGATAGCATACGGTTGATGATGTATGTAGCACACAAAACTGCACCCATCCAAAAACGTTTTGGCACATTCATATGAATTAATAAGCCACGAGCTACTTCGAAAAGGTGACGGTTCTTTCGTTTAGCAACACCATTTTGTTGGGGTGTCCTGGCACAAGAGATTCGCTGAAGTGACCCACTCGAAGCAAAAAACTTCGTGAGATCACTATGGAAGTATTCCTTCGCATTGTCCGACTGGAAGATATGGATTTCAATTTGGAACTGAGTGAACACCATGCGTTGAAAGTCTTTCATAATTTTTGGCACTTCATCTCAAGATCACATAAGATAAACCCAAGTGTATCTAGAGTAATCATCAATCAAGGTAATGAAATACTTATATCCAGCCTCAGTGGGTAGAGTAACAGGGCCCCAAACATTAGAATAAACAATATGAAATGGAAATTCAGATCCTTTATTTCTCAAAGGTAAAGAACTTCTATAATGTTTACTCAATTGACATGTCTGACACTATAATTGACTCACTGACAAGGACTCAAACAACTTTGGGAACATAACTTTTAATGACTCGAAAGAAAGATGACCAAGACGACTGTGCCATAAATAGGCTTGACTCTCACTTGACAAACTCATGGACACTGTAGCCACAAGACCAGCTTTATTCTCCAACACGTAGAGACCATTCACCATGCTTCCTCTACCAATCGTCTTCCCCGAGGCCAAATCCTGAAACACACATGAAGACGGAAAAAAAAAGTGATTGAACAGTTCAATGAGTGAGTTATACTACTAATGGACAGCAAATTTATAGGTAATTTTGGAACATGCAGTACATTAGAAAGGGTAAGGCCGAGTGGGAGAGGTATGGTACCTTGGCCAGCTATGGTAGAGAAAGAACCATCAGCTAGTCTCACCTTATCTCTCCCAGAGAGAATGTTATATGTCTGAAACAAATTTGACTTACCGGTCATGTGATTTGAGGCTCCGGAGTCAATAACCCAAGGAGAATCAGTGGTATGAGAGGACACATGGAAGGCAGTGGCAACGTTACCTGATGTAGACGCGAAAGAGGTAGAGGGAGTAGAACCAGAATCCATCTAGCAGAGAGTCCTACCATACAATTCCAAATGGTCACGAATGGAGTTGATAATTTCTTCCTTAGGGTCAGAACTGGGATGCCTCTCCTGAGTTACCAATGGACTAGTCTCTGTCGACGCCATATTAGCTAAGTTATACTTTTTCTGATTTTACTGGCTTGGTTTCTTGCCCTGATCAGGTGTTGACTTCTTACCCAAATC